CCCCTCCCCCTGTTTGAATTTCATCCTGGGGAGAACCCTGCTAACCCTAACCCTAACCCTAACCCTAACCCTGACCCTAACCCTAATCCTAACACTATCCTAACACTAGTGCTGCCACGTTGCAGTAACCTCCCTCCACGCCCAGGGGATAGCATTACCCGATATTTGTCTGAGCATCGGACACCTGTTCGTATGCGCTATTCGTCCGAGCAGTTGTTGCGCATGCGCTGTTCATGTAGCATGCCGCAGGCGCACTGCAGGAGTGCCGGAGGTAGAAAGTCTGAAGGGGGGGGGGTCTCCCCCAGACAATTTTTAAATCTAGACGCTCTAAAATGCTATTTACCCTTTAGATTTATGATTTTTCTGCCCTTTAGGCTGGGGCCCGTAGCGTTTGCTACGGCAGCCCTACGGCTGTGACGCCCCTGCATACATGCGTTGCGTATGTGGTTATACACCATAGATAGTGTTTGGTACTATCGCTCGCGTATATAAGCGAACCGAGTCGGTTTATAGTTAGTGTTAGGGTTAGGGTTAGAGAGTAGTACTAGGCGCCTCCCTAGACTAGCATTATATTACATTTATGTAATACAACATGAACAGCGCATGCGCCACGACTGCTCGGATGAATAGCGCATATGAACAGGTGTCCGATGCTCGGACGAATATCCACGTCCTAACAATACATCATAATAACTCGTAAATAAGTACTACGTAAAAAAAGCATCGCCTACCAGCCACTGTAATCTAGTCGGTTTTACATTCCGCTGTAAATTCCATTCTTCCACATTCTCCCGTTACTTTTCGTTTATCGTCGTATCATTTTCTTGGTTTTACTTCACACGATAAAATTCCGTCGTTGTTCCGCGCTCTTGCAGATTTTAGTTTCCACGGTAAATTGGACCCTTTTCACTTTCTCGCAGGTTTTCTTCAACAGCGTGATCCCGGACCACGACGCAGATGCGTTCCAGCCACCGTGCGGCGGCGGCGGCGCCACGCTAGGCGACCGCATCATCGACGCCCTCCTCGGCGGGTTCCGCCGCTGGGACGCCCTCTACTTCCTTCACGTCGCCGAGCGCGGCTACACGTTCGAAAACTGCCTCGCGTTTCTCCCGCTGTTCCCTCTCACGGCGGCCTCCCTTGCCCGCGCCGCGCTCGCCGCCGCCCCCGCGTCCTTCCTCGCTCTCTCCTCTCTCGTGCTCGTCTCCTCGACCGCGCTCAACGTCGTGTACTTCGTCGTCTCCGCCGTCTTCCTCTCGCATCTCGGACGGCTGGCGACGGGGAGCACAGAGGTGGCGTGCGTCGCGACGATGCTCTATTGTTTCAACCCGGCGAGCGTGTTCTTCAGCGCCGCGTACTCGGAGTCGATGTTCGCCGCGGCCACGTTCTGCGGACTCATCCTCTGCGAGAAGGACCAGCTTTTCGCCGCGTCCGTCGTCTTCGGCCTCGGCGCGGGAACGCGCGCCAACGGCGTCGTCTCCGCGGGTTTCGTCGTCTACTTCCGTCTGCGGCGGACGCTGGCGTCGTTGCCGCGGCGACGGGGCGTCGTCGAGACGTCGCTGCGTGTCACCGCGGCGACGACGTCCGCGGCGGCGTACGCTTGCATCTGTGTCGCGCCGTTTCTCGCCTACCAGTACTACGCTTACGGCGTTTTCTGCGCGCGCCCGGCACCGCCGCCCCCGCCGGACCTCCTCGAGTTTGGGCGCGCGAACGGGTACGTCGTCGCGGGGGACGGGCGGCGCCCCCTGTGGTGCGACGCGCCGCTGCCGCTCTCCTACTCGCACGTGCAGCGAGAGTACTGGGACGTCGGCTTCCTGCGCTACTACCGCGCGAAACAGATTCCGAACTTCGTCCTCGCCGCGCCGGCGCTCTACCTCTGCGGGCGCGCCGTCGCATCGTACGTCCGCCGCCGCTGGGAGCACGCGTCGTGCCTCGGGTTCCGCCAGGCGGCGCCGCGGCGGCGCGACGCGGGGTTCTACGCGGACGGGTGCTTCGTGTACGTCGCCCACTGCGCGACGTTGCTGTTCACGTGCGCGGCGTTCGCGCACGTTCAGGTGTCGACGCGACTCCTGTGCTCGTCCTCGCCCGTGATCTACTGGTACTGCGCTCAGCTGCTGTGCGACACCTCCTCCTCCTCCTCCTCCTCGTCCTCCTCCGCAGCGGGGAGGAGGTGGCGGTGGGACGAGGGACTCTCGGGGAAGGAGAACGCGACGGGGTTTGTCCTCGGACTGCTCGAGCGATGGCGGACGCTGGACGCGGGGAAGCGATTCGTCGTTCTCTACTTCATCTCGTATTTTGTTGTTGGCATCGCGATGCACTGCAACTTCTTGCCGTGGACTTGAAGACAGAGGGAAGACAGAGAGAAGACAGATGGAGGACATAGGGAGCACCTAAAACTTGGAGGAAACGCCATCCGAGTGGGAACGGTCAACCAACGTGAAGGAGAACCCACGTCAGTTTGGAAATGTGCCAGTATGGAACTGTGTTAGTTTGGAACTGTGTCAGTCTGGAAATGTGCCAGTCTGGAACTGTGTTAATTTGGAACTGTCAGTTTGGAACCGTGTCAGGTTGGAACCGTGTCAGTCTGGAAATGTGTCAGTTTCGAACTGTGTCAGTCTGGAACTGCGTCAGTTTGGAACTGTGTCAGTCTGGTTCTGTGTTAATTTGGAACTGTGTCAGGTTGGAACTGCATTAGTTTGGAACCATGTCAGTTTAGAACAGTTCAGAACTGCGTTGGGTTGTGTTAGTGGGCGTTCTAGTCGTCAAGAGTCTTAGATACGATTACGGCCGTGCGTCAAACGTTACGAGTCGTTTCTCGAATCTTGTTTTCTTTCCGTCGTTGTCTTCGGTATGTAATCCCATCGTGACGTTAGTTCTGATCGCTGTGTGTATTGCAATTGATGATCAATTTAAAAGATCGTAATAAGGTTTTTGTCTCATTATTTTAACTGCAATAGTCGTAACTATCTCGCTATTCCACGATTTTGATGTAACAGTCGAAAAGGAACTGCTTTTACGACTACTCTACGAACACTCTTTAATAATTTAAACGCGCTTACAAACTATGATTTACGTATTATTGTTACCATTACGTGAAAACGTGGAGCTTAACGTTGGGAAATATTGCATCGCCGTGGTTTCTCATTCGAAGTTATGATTTCTTACTGAATAGCGAGCGCGCCTCAAGGCAAACGTGTGGACAACTCGAGTTTCACGAAAAATACCTCGTGAAATCGTACAATCCACTACGGGCATCAAATTCGACTCCGAGGCACGAAATCGAACTTTAATAGGCCTTACCTATCAGGATTGAAATCTACACATACAGTCTCTGCATTCATGAGATGAATTTCCTATTGATATATTATCGATCAATGATGAATGCATGCTGATAGTGATATCCTGTGTTTGCAACCAACAAAGGTAAAAAAAATGAAGGCAAGAGAGAAACCCATTTGGATACAGCGACATTATATTTTCCAGTTTTTGATGTATAGCTTATTGAATAAAACATTTGTAAATTACTAAAAATGCTAACTCGACTACGCACATTCGTCTGTCCACACGACGCACGACCTTCGCAATTCTAATCTCGCGCACGACTCCAGTTTCCACCTACCACTAACATTGGTGACCACAGTCAAACCTGTATAGAAGGGTAACCAGCGGAAAACGCCCCCAACTGTCCTTTATAGACAGGTGTCCCTACTATAGAAGTGTCCGCTAACGCAGGTTTGACTGTACGCCACAAAATGAGCACGACAATATTTTTTCTCTGTATAACCATTAACACATGTATTCTCATAAGAATATAATATATATACGTTCATGGTAACGCATAACAATACATATTTTTCTTGCATGACAGCCGGTAGTCTATATCCCGTCTATATTCGTTTACATTCTGTAGTAAAACCACTGCTGCTGCTGCTACTACTGCTGCTGCTGCTACTACTGCTACTACTGCTACTGCTACTGCTACTGCTACTGCTACTACTACTGCTACTGTTGCTACTACTGCTGATGCTACTGCTGCTGCTACTACTGCTACTGCTACTGCTACTATTGCTGCTGCTACTGCTACTATTGCTGCTGCTACTTACTACTACTGCTGATGCTACGTTCGCGTGCATTAGTCGTGGAAAATGAGATCAAACGAAACCGGACGTGCACGCTTCAATCAGATTGCTTTCACAACTCTCTGTGAAACCCCACTAGCTGTTTGTTATACACGGAAATCAGGTCGCAACATCCGATGTATACTGTATAAGCCGTATTTTTCGCGTACAGATATTTTCGCAAATTCAGACTTGACGAACAATTTCGCGGTCCGTGAATTACGAATTATTCGCGTGTTGTTATTTTCGCGGTCGGGGACGCGTTCGCGAAATTCGCGAAAATTAAACCACCGCGAAATATACTGCTTATACAGTATATAACAACAGCCGCTAGGTATATATCCGGATGCAGACCGGAAGAGGAAGTCCAATCCAGAGGGCGCTGAATCACACTACGCGAGCGACAAATGAAACGATCATCAAACGCATTTCATACGTAGAACAACGACTCAGCGTTCATCCGTTCTATTGATTCATATATTGATATAATTATTCATTCTATAAGGGAAACCTCATCAGGAATGCTACATTGAAGTTATCTAAA